TTAAGGACGTTAGGACCTGGATGACCAGAAATGTTTTGCTACTTTAGGAGTTCTATTTAATCAAGATATGTCCTTTAGCTCTCACATCAGGCAAATTTCAAGAACAGCCTATTTTCACCTTCGTAATATATCCAAGATCAGGCATAGCCTGTCGCAAAATGATGCAGAAAAACTAGTTACCTCAGTTACCTACTATCATTTGTTACCTCCAGATTGGATGATTGTAATTCTTTTTTGTCAGGGTGCTCTGGTAAGTCTCTAAAGACTCTTCAACTAGTCCAGAACGCTGCAGCTCGTGTACTGACTAGAACTAGGAAAAGGGACCACATTACTCCTGTGTTGGCTTCTCTGCATTGGCTCCCTATACAGTCTAGAATATAATTCAAGATCCTTCTTCTCACTTACAAAGCTCTAAATGGCCATGCACCATCTTATCTTAAGGAGCTACTAGTGCCATACTACCCTTCAAGAACATTACGATCCCAGAATGCAGGCCTGCTAGTGTACTATTAGAGGTAAAGCCTTCAGTTATCAGGCTCCTGTCCTCTGGAATCGTCTTCCAGCCAGGGTCCGGGAGGCAGACACAGTCTGTATTTTTAAGAATAGACTTAAAACTTTTTGATAAATCTTATAGTTAGGGCTGCCGCTGGTGTAGACCAGCTCCTAGTTATGCTGCTATAGGCTTAGACTACCGGGGAACTGGCACCTTGAGCTCCTCTCTCTCTCTCTCTCTCTAAGCAGAGTGTAAGCCGGATGGTGATAACCACATCAGCTATGTAATAGCGTGACATCATAGCAGCTTGATACAGTGTAGCCCGCCAATAAACTCACACACTCAACAAAGAAGAACGCTACATGGTAAACAACGGTGGACGTCCAGCACAAGTTATCACCGCCGAGGTCATCTAAGGGGTGGAGCTACGAACTGTCAGTAGTCACAAAAAAACAGCCTTAGTTTTTCTACTAATCGGACGGCAGTGTGTCTAGCTCCGCCCTAGGGTCAGCTCGGGATGCTTGGCACTACAACAGAAAGGTAGCAAAAAAATATGTTGGCACAAATCTGTTATTTTGGTAACATTCCAAACTTCTGACAGTGAAAACACCAATAAATGCGTACCTTACAGAACCAAGCTGAACAGGACCGATTGGTGGAAACGGGTCTTATGAGGTCCTCTCCAGAAATGATGTTAGGATGATTTGTCCATTCTGGGCTTCTGTAGAAACAAGACGGTCTTTAATTAAAAGGACTTGTTGGCTTTGTAGCTATGCAGGTAAAGAAATGACAAATAATAAAACATTTCACGTTTGACCTTTAAACTTGTCAGACTGTTTTTTACTTACTGATTAAATGAGGTTTAAGATGTCTTTAAACCACCTTTTCTTTAAAATTCTTCATTCCTCCATAAACACTGTAAAAATGTGCGTACATGTAGGTTAGTAAACTCAGTTGTTCGTTTTTTGCAGTCAGAGGTTTGTTGATAACTTTTGTACCAGCAGGTGGCAGCAGAGTCAAAGTGACGCCTGACCAAAGACGGAGAAGTAGTGTTTAATGTACCTGTGAGCTTGGCTGATAACATGTAAGAGAAGTTCTTTCAGTGCCGTGGTTTAATCCTGGATATATAATCAGTGTGAAGTAAAATAAACCAACAAGACACAACACTTTACCATCAGATGATAAACTGATGTAAGGAGCCCTGCCCTTTAAAGAAACATTTAAAAGCAGTCTTTAAATCCATACACATGGTTTGCTAAACTTTCCCTTGATGGATAGATGTGCTCAAACAAAGGTGTGTCTGTGACACCTTTAGGAGACTTTGTGAGTTTATGATAACTTTTTGTAAAAGACTGGCTGTTAAATAAAAAACTACTCACATACTTTGTCTTTTAAACTCATTGGTTCAGCAGGCAAACCATCAAATCAACCTCTGAGCCCCAGGAAGTGGTTAGGAATCCCAAACTGGCGTCAAACAGCTCAAAGGAATGGTAACAAAGGTAAATGTGTGATGTCATAAGGTGGATATTACTTTGGACTCGTCAGCTGAGCTGTCTGAGAGTTTGTTAAAGTGAAATGAAACATTCAAAGATGCAGCAGTGTCCTTCTTTTACATCACTGAGACTACAGGGAGACACTGAGGACGACTATCTACAGTGAGCCTGAAGGGACAAAATAGCATGAGATTAATCTTGATTAACTCATTAACTCTGGCAGCAGTATTACATTTTAATGCCTAAAATTGCTGCTGCGGGCAGGTTTCAGATGGAGTGATTTTTTATTTTTTTATCAGTGTTTTTTATTTCATGAGTGAGAGATATGTTCTGCTCTTCAAAGACAGCAGAGTTTTATTCTTTGTTGCACAGGAAAAAAATCAGCAAAATGACAAGACGTCTGCATCGTCCACAGGGGGCAGCATCGTCAAAACAAACTAAATGTTCCTCACAGGTGCTTTAAATCAACTCATCAACAGCTATCATGATGTGTTTGGAACCTGCACTCTGTAAACCTGCACCTCTTACCTCAGATAAACCATCAGTCATGCAGCCCTAAAAGGACAGTTCACCAGAATTAAATAAAGAATCTGTCCTCTCCTAGAAACTATGAAAGCTGATCACCACCTGAAATCGTTTCAGGGGCGTGTCCAGACTTTTTGGACTGGGGTGGCCCGACTGGGGCGCTGACTTGTGCAGGGTTGCCTGAAGTTTGTGCACACACATGAATAAAGATGATTTATTAACCCCCTTATTTCTGCTCTAATCACATCGATTTTTGAGTTGCACATAATAATGGCAACATTTGGGGTGGCCAATAAGATTTCAAAGGGGGCCCCCTTTGAAATCTTATTGGCCACCCCAAATGTTTCCAGATGGGTTGTTCCACCCATCTGGAAACACCCCTGGGTAGAGGTCAGTGTGCCCGATTGACTTTTTCTTTTATTTAGCCCTGTGATTATTTAGAAACCTGTTCAGGTTGTATACCCCGGTTTGAACCTGGCGGCGTCAGCTAACCTGATTGTGACCGTTTGAAAAGAGCAAACATTGAAAGATGATCGATGGATTGAAACAGATAACCAGCAGGAAAAGCACAAGTTTGAATAACATCAAACAGAGATTAGCCGTCACTCTGTTCTGGCTTGGCGGGACTTGATAAAAACTGTTGATAATAAAATCTATATTATTGTAACATCCTCCGGTGCTCAATCAATGTTTCCACGGGCCTGTTGAGGTGAAGTTGATTTAGTGAAGTTCTGATGTCAGAGGTATGTTTTCATAAACCTCACTACTCTCTACCAAATAGGCAGTTTGCAGATCATAACTGAAGCTATGCTTACAAAGTTGGAACCTGCCTGACTCTGTTGAAATAACCTGCGGTTTCATTAACGTCCAGAAACACCTGTAACGACAGTTTGAACAGAAACAGTCTGAGTGCACGACCAGAGAGGAAAAAAAAAACCCGACTGAGCTGACCTGCCAAGACAAAAAACAAAAAAACTAAAATAGATGAACTTTTGAAATCTTTATGAAGGTTGTCGTTACTGTTACACCTTTTACGTCCCCCGAGAGGTGGTCGGGGTCGGGCCTCCAGTATTGGGGAACCGGTCGGTCTTTCTTTTACGCAACCCTGAGCTGTGGTGGGATTCCCCCCGGCTCTGTGCTGGGACATCTGCCGGAAGGAGGCAGCCACAGTGGTGATGTGCAGCCTGAAGTCAGGCTCTGTGCAGCAGCAGCATGAAGCCACAGGGCAGCCTGCACGCAACCGCCGGCCAGGGCCTCAACTGTCTGCTCACACACACACACAACACACATATACGCATTACACACACGCGCACACGCCTGCTTATATCCTCATGCCCCCTCTGACCCTGCCCTCAGCTTTGAATGTCTATCTTTTAACCTGACAACGAACTGAGTCCTGATCTCAGAGTAGGAAAACATGCAGCCTCTGTGATCGACACTCAGGTACACAGAGAAAAATAAAACCAAGTGAAGAAGAGGATCTAAGAGGAACTGAAGGTGCAGCACAAAGAATACCACTCATGTACTTATAGAGCCATTATGCAAAAATTATAATTGAAGGAAAATAACTGTTGAAGCAGTTTTTATGTCCGTCTTCTCGATAGACATGCCTCTTAAAAGCCTAACCCTTTCTTCTTTTCATCCATGTGTGTGTGTCTAAGTGTGTTGTTTTTGTGTACATATATTTATTGATGAATGTTTAGTTAGTTACTGTATGGTCTGACTGTGGTGTGTGGTTACGTTGCTGTATTGTTGCTGGGTGCACTGGGATGTCATGTGTATTGTTGTGTTGTCATTTTGGAAATCATGGAAGAATAAATGCTGCTGCTGTGAGAAAGCCATGGGTGGTTCTAGGCAGGGGCCAAAAGGGGCCAGTGCCCCTGTAACACTGAGCTTGGTCCCCCTCCAAAAGGAAGAGCCCCCTAATAACAAAGCATTTGACTTAACAACCAGACTCACAATCTAGTATTAAAAACTGTTACTGAAACAAATATAAATTAATGATAAGCATGGTATTTTTAAATGGTATTTAATGATGTGTGCTATTATTTGGCATAATATATTTTTTAAAGTGATAATCTTTATCTATTTTTCCTGGGTTTCGGACTCTTGAACCCTCCGATTCCCAACCCAAGTCATTACAGACTGAGCTACTGCCTCCCAATAAATAAATACTATATGTCTTGGTCTGGTCCCGGTCTCAAGAGTATTCTGGCCTCGGGGAATGTCTTGGTCTTTGTTAGTGTGGTCTTGACTAAAACACTACCACATGCTCAGGCTTTAGTTCTCATCACAGCGGCCGGCGGTTTGATTGAATCTAACCTTTGCTGCCCGTCACTCCCCCCCCCCGACCGGCAATCTCCTACGAGCACTTTCTGTCTATCTTCAGCTCTCCTCTCCAATAAAAATGTAAAAATTTGCCCAACGAATAATATATTGTTATGTTGGTGTCGATGGTGTGCTTTGAAACAGACTGCAGAGGAAGCATCTTTTCTGTGCGACAGATTTATTCACAGCAGTGAGACGAGGTCTAACAGACCGTCTCCATGGCGACAGGTTCATTGAAGCAGTTTGAGGCTTTTTACTGATTTACAAACACAAGTCACATTAACAAAGATCAATGAAAACTCCACATTCTGGTACATAAAATCAACAGAAACTAAAACAGACAAGAAGGAAAAGAAAAAGGCAACTCAGTGGAGGTGACGTAAATGATGATGTCACTGCGTTTCTGTGGAAACAAATCTGAACTCACAAACACACAAGGCATGGCGTATACATTCTCAGGTGTTAAAGGACAACAACACACGTTATTATTTGTTCTCTCACGTCCTGAAACAGAAGATGGAGACGTGCTTTTTCTGTTTCAGACGTTCTCGAGAGTTTAACGCGTTTGTCGCTCTGTCGCAGTCAAACAGCACGAGGTCGACACAGAAACTCTGTCATGGCTTTTAACGCAGTGAACGATTCTACCTGCAGAGATTATTTTTATCAGTGATTAAAACTGTTATTGGTTACTCACTGAAACAGAACCACACGCTGATGAAGGCAGAGAGATGTGGCAAAGAGCTCTTAAAGGCTTAATATGCGATTTTTTGATCCACCAGATGTCGCCCTTGAGCACCAGCATGAAACTAAAACAACTTGCGCTGCATTGCTGTGTTAGCATGCTAATGCTAGCAATCTTTATTATTATCTTGTATCTTCACACTTCATGTAAATTTACCAGAAATGACCGTGATCTAAAAACGCTTATATGACATTGAAATAAGCTGTGAGTCGCATATAATCGCATATAAAGCCTTTAAAGAAACAGTACGTCGACGCTGTAGTGTTACTGAGCTTGTCAGAAGTCTGGATAATTAAACACTTAACGATACGACAGGTTTGAAAACAATCTGTTGTTTTAATGGTCGGTAGTATCGAAAAGTACAGACTCTTTAAAAAAAACAACTTGTCTTCGGTCGGATGTTTAACTAAAATGCTGTCGAGAGAGAGAGAGCACGGACTACATTGCCAACTAATTTCTGCAATGTGTGCAGGAGTTCGCGGGCAGTTTTTGGTAATTAAAAACAAGCAAATAGCCATCAGTGGAAGACTAGGACTTCTATTTTTTGTTTTCGTTGCATTGGTTCAATCTATCACAACTTGTCCCCATCTCACGACCAAACCATCCACACGACTGCTGAGGTTGTTCTCTACATCTGCTGATTTTTAGTTTGAGTGTGGACAGAAATCTGAACGGAGAAACTTTCCATTTAAATGTACTTTAAAGTAAAAACATAGAAATGTGGATGTAGAACAAGTTTCCAAACTTCCACCCCCTGACCTTTATTTAGCTGTGTTTAATGATTTATTTGCACAAACGTCCGATGTTAGTTTGCGTTTTTCTAAATGTTCTATATTTGTGCTGAACTAAAGCTTCTGATGCATACCTCTGAGTGTTTTTTTCTGGCTCTCTGATTGGTTCTCTAGTCAGGATGCTACTGTTAGTAACTAACTGCCAATCATTCTACAAACGGCAGGAGAGTAATTCATGTTAGTGAGTGAGTAGTTCATGTTGGAGGTGTTCAGTAAGTTAATGCTCTGTTAGTTGTCTTCACATCCTTCAGCGTTAGACGGCACCCCCAGCAGCTGCTAGGCCGTGAAGTCTTCAGTCAAACCAGAAGGTGGAGGGGTCCCCGATGTCCTGCCGGCACACGGTCGTCCGCGGGGTTCTGTACAGGCGGATGTGTTGACGTGTACAGAGTCGGCCCGTTAATGTTGAAAGCAGTGGAGCAGAATGAGAGCTGGAGGCAGAGAGAGAGACCGCCTCACTCGCCCTTAAAGTGAGGACGCCTCTTCTCCTTGAAGGCAGCCAAACCCTCCAGACGATCTTTAGTCGGAATCACCTGAAACACAGCACGCGTCAGACCCCTCCTCCTCAAGTCAAAGCTAAGCCCCTCCCATAAACATCTGAGACCCTGCATCCAGAGGTCACGCCTTTTATATCCACGACGAGAAGAATTGTTAAAACCATCTCTTAATATATTGTTTTACACATCGTCTTTGAACCGCTCTGAATACCTGAACCTGCAGAAATAAGTTCAGGTTATTCAAACTGTGTGACTACGAGGCAAACAGCGGAGCAAGCCATCAAAGTCTGTCAAAAGTGAGGAGTCCCTTCTTCATCACGCCGTGTCCTATCAGCACGTGAGCGTTATAAATCGCCACGCATCTCGCATAATCGCACGCACTTCACCTGTTAAATATATAATTGTCTGTGAATTTCAGTTTACCCTCTCAAACAGTAAAACATGTGGTGCATTTATTTTGAAGTTGGACAAACTTAAGTGTGGTGCTTTTATTTTGAAGATAAACAAAAAGAAGTGAGGTGCTTTTATTTTGAAGGGGAACAAACAGAAGTGTGGTGCTTTTATTTTGAAGGTGAGCAAACTGAAGTGCGGTGCTTTTATTTTGAAGGTGGACTAACAGAAGTGTGGTGCTCTTATTTTGAACGGGTCTAACAAAAGTGAGTTGCTTTTATTTTGAAGGGGGTCAAACAGAAGTGTGGTATTTTTATTTTGAAGGTGAACAAAAATAAGTGAGTTGCTTTTAATTTGAAGGTGGACAAACAGAAATGTGGTGCTTTGTATTGAGGAGTTATCTGTTCCATTACTCACCTGGGAATAACACGCCTCTTCAATCGCCAGACCCGTGGACAAATCGACCTGAGAGAAGAGGAGAAGTCAGGTGATCATTTAAGGACAAAAAGGCGGGAAAACAAACCCTGAGTGGAAAATGACGAGCAGGAAGTCTTACCTCTATTCCCTGGTTGATCGCCAGTTTTGCCATCCTAACAGCGATTGGACCCTGAAGACACAAAAACAAACAGTGACTTCCTTCTTTTCATGAATCAAAGTGTTTTCACCCCTGCTGGTTCAGCTCATCCTGCTCCGAGATCACTTCACCCCCCCCCCATAAATATCGAGGCTTGAAATGGCGTTCTGAACAGTTCCTCCATCTGTTCTCCTTTAATGTTTTTTTTTTTTTTCTTACCTGAGGGTTGATCTCTCGTGAGAGCTCCAGAGCGCGCAGGTACGCAGCGTCCCCGCTCTCGTTCTGCTCCACGGAGTGATTGACCAGACCCAGACGACACGCCTCCGTCCCGTCCACCACCCGCGCCGCAAAGATCAGCTCCTTGGCCAGAGAGACGCTGATAACACGAGGGAGACGCTGCGTCCCTCCTGCACACGGGGAGAGAGACACATCTAACCACGTGCTTCAGCATGCTGTGAGCTTCAACCAATCAGCATCCAGGACTGACTGCGTTCTTAAATGCCTTCAGTTAAGCTCGCTGCACTGACCTGAGCAGTTCAAACACGATAGATATCGACAAGAGGTGTGACTTCTAAACGTTTAAACGCTAAATGTTTACTTAAAAACAGGTCGGAAATATACTTGAGCGGCGCGCCCAGGCATCGTCTGTTATTAACAAGCCGGCCGCCAACGTGCAAACATTTAGCAATTTGGTCAGTTTTGCGCACCACTAATATCGACTCTCTGTATAAACGATCGCACGTCATGGCCTGTGGAGTTTTTGGCGCTGGCTGGCTCGTTTCAAATACAAAACAAATGTAGCAGAGCGGCTGTTTTTTGTTGCTGTGCTCACTGCACTGTCAGTTAAAAACATTTCAACTTTTGGAACAAAGCAGCGATTATCAATGTCACTTCTCCCTCATCGACCAATCAGAATCAAGACGGGGTGGGCCTTAACCAATCAGCTTTAACAACAACAACGGTGGAGGAGACGCTCCATTGACTTGTCTTTATGAGGGATCAGTTTCCAGGTAGAGCTGCTGATGATGTCAGGACACGATGACTTTACAACGCCTTCATGTCTTTGAATTACAGAAAATATTAAACACACAGAGCTAACGGACATCACAGAGGGAAGCAGAAGTTAAGTTTCGTAACCTAGCAACAATGAAAATGTCACCAGAAACCGAGGTCTGTGGACACAGACACTCAGTGTTGTTGTTCATGAAAGTTAAGACGTCTGTAAAGAACATTAAAATAATAATAAAAACATGGCCTTACCGGCTCCTGGAATAATTGCAAGTTTGGTCTCAACCAATCCCATCTTTGCATTATTGGCTAAAAAAGATCAAAGAGAAGACGCCTAAACATTCAGACATGAACATGATTACACAGAAAATCTCATCACATTGACTGAGATTCATTTATCATCAAATCAAGATTACATCGTTTATATCAAAGGTTCAGTCACATTAAAACGTTTATTAATGAAAAGCTTCAACATGTCCGTCTGTAACGTTAAACAAAGGGTCTCTGAGTCTTACAGGAAATTCTGATGTCACAGGCGAGCGCCATCTCCAGACCTCCTCCTAAAGCTGCTCCGTCGATGGCAGCGATGGTCGGGACGGGAAGGTTACCTGGACGAGAAAAGACAGACAAGGAGACGTTAAGACTACGATGTGAGAAGAAGGATCGTCTTCACTTCTGACGGGTCGACCTTGATTATAACGAGGCAGAGAGACTTTCAGACGAGCAGAGAAAAGGTCGTCTGAACCCGTTCTTGAGTTTAGCCTTTAGAAGTGGTTCAACAGGGTCTGAAGGTCTCCACGTTAGACTTCAGGGATCTGAGATGTTCTGGATTCTTTTAAACGACCTGGAGGCCGGCCCGTCTGGCTGAAGGCGTCCTGCCTGATGTATTTTTGATCGTGGTCGTACTCGTTTATTTCACGTCCTTTAAAGCAACAACATGCAGTTGTTCAGATTGGCGCTCTTTTGCACCCTCTGAAGGTCTTAAGAGTGTAACTGCACACTTGGGCGGTCTTGACTGCCCCTCACAGACGACGTGCATTTGTTAACAAGCAGAGGAGCGGCGTTGTGAGAAGACAAAGAGCAACTGGCAGGGTGCAGCACTGTTAGCTCTGCTAGCGTCTGTTGAGGAGAAACATTTTGTTAAAAGATGGATTTACCATCGACGACTTCACCGACCTCCACGGTGCATGGGGAGGTCACAAAGCTCCAGCGACACGAGGATCAACTCTATTAACAAATTAGACCGGATGACGCCGATGACAACCACAGGCCGGAACGTGTCGGGCTAATTTGTTAATTAAGTTGATCTTCAAACTCCAAGTGTTGCTGGAGCCTTTTTTAAGATTTATTTTTGGGCTTTTATTGGAGAGATAGGACAGTCAGTGAGAGAGAGAGAGGGGAATGACATGCAGGAGAGGAGCCACAGGTGGGATTTGAACCTGGGCCGCCTGCTTGGAGGTTTGATACATGGGGTGCGCGCACTAACGACTGCGCCACCAGCGCCCCTTACTGCTTTCTGACCTCTATTTATTTTGAGATATGACTCTGATTAGATGACTCTCTGCTAAACACGAGACAACGATGTCACCGACAACGCTCTACAACGAGAGCGATCGCTTACAGAGCTCTGTGATGAGCGCTCGGGCTTTGGACACAAATGGTCCGACTTCACTCTGGTGCATCTTCACCCGCTCCTTCAGGTCGGCACCTGCAAACAAATAAAAACACAAACAGAGCATCAGCATCACACAGAGACCAGGAAGAAGTGGTCAGTCTGCCACGCCCCACAGACGCCGAGTATCTGAACGAGAGTCTGCTCTCTGATTTATCCACACGTCTTAAAACAGCTGATTAACGGTAAGATCCGGTGTACAAGACCCCGTGTCCACGTAACAGTTTTTTTATGAGCGCCAGCGTCTTTTTCCATATGTTTCAATGAGTAGAGAGCGTTCGCAGCAGAAAGTGGCCGCCTGGAGAAAAAAGTGTGCTCAAGTTGAAAACCTTTCAACTTTTCAGAAAGCCGCTGTTGACGTCACGGGCGCTCTTTTCCAGATGTTTGATATTCCCCGTAGTTTTGCCTCCTACTGATTGTGTCTTGTACCCACGTCCTCCTTGCTCCGTGTCTGATCTGGAAATAAACGATCTCAAATATAAAACATGCAGTAAAAACGTAACAGAGCAGTGTCGGTCATACAGCGGCCGTTATCAACACACTGTTGTCATGGAGACAGGACAGACGTGCCACGCTTTTCTTCTCGCTTCATGCAAACACTCCAAGCGCACAGCCAGCGCTTTACTGCTCGGAAAAAAAACGCTAGGTGGACACGAGGCCGAAGACGCACTTTAAATACACATTAATTCAGCTAAAAAGTGCTTCTTATAAACCAGTGGGAACAATATACCAGTATACAATTCTTACTCTTTAGAGCAGCTTGCCCCATCACACACGGAACCTGGCCCAATCGAAAAACACCTCCCCCATTCGTCGTGTATTGCACGCCGTGCTGGGACACATAGCGACCCAGACCAGGCTAGCTGCACCGCTTTTTAACATCTTTCATCCGTCACGAGGTCATAATCATGCACGTAAAGAAAACTGTGGGATATCGTTCAGGAAATTAACCTCATGGAACGCTCTTCTTTAAGTTACCGAGTGACCTGCGGAGTCGGGCAGCGCGACTCGCAGGGTGAGGGTCTGTAGGCTTCTTCACAACTTTCACTGCAGACTGAAAGAGCAACACAGCTGCACAGAGACTGTGACTTTACTGAACACAATCAAAATCATCATGCAGGAAGGAAGCTTAGACCCTTTGTCTCGCTGGGAGGCGACTACAATCACACTGTGATGGTGCGACTTATATTCCAGACAGAACATGACAAATAGTGAACACAACATGAACTAAACTGGAAACACATTTTAAACAGTCAGTGAATCATAAAGAGCGAGAGTGAACCTGCACAGAAGATCCCGGGAACCAAACTGCAAATGATGACGCTGCGCACTTTGTTGTTCTTCTTGATGTCCTCCAGCGTGTCAAACATCTGGAAAACACATTTTAATGTACAACATGTGGGTATAAGAAGAAGTGACAGCAACGCAGACTTCTCTGAGTGACGCAGAGAAAAATCTCTCTCATGTTGAAATGGTTGTCATATAAATATAAATATCTGTATTTACCATTTTGACCAGATTCTTGCTGATGGCATTTTTGGCTTTTGGTCGATTTATACCAACGACGACGATACCTGAAAGACGTGCTCGTTAAAGGTAATACACACCTTCTTAAAATGTTTTATCAGGCTGCCGGGGACATTTCATCAGATCATTAATCAATCATACATCAGACATCATCAACCACGCTGCATGGGTCGCCGTGGTCAGTAAGAACGTGTGCTGCTGGACGGTCCGATGCATCTGGAGGAATTTAGCAGTGAGAACTGTTTACAAATATCTTCATTACGTTTTATTTTAGGGGGCGGGGCTAAATATTTGGTAGGACTTGCAGCCCAAACTGTGGGCGAGCTGCAGGTTTGTGCAGTCTGACTCTGTGGGTACACTTTGTATTTGCACTCTGGAGCATTAATGATGAAAAGAACAGAAAAGTAAAACGTGCAGCTGCTCACAACAAAGTATCACATTTGTCTTCACAAAAAGTTGTAACTATTTTTTTCTCCACTTAAAGTTTGACGTCAACACGTACTTCCTGATTTGGTTGTGGGCGTGGCCTCCGCTGCGTCCGGGGCCGGGTGATGTGTTTACACCTGTAACTTTCTGATTGACAGCAGCATCGTTACCATCGTTACCGCTTTAACCTCTGTGTTACATGTGGAGTGACGCGGTTTATTAGCGGAACTTACCGGAGTCCTCTCCGTCGAGGTATCTGACGCGCAGGTCATCCTTGGAGTCGGAACTGTAGCCTCGTGTCGTCGCTTTACCGGACAAAACATACTGTCTCGTGCAGGCGGTCGCCGCAGCTATCCTGCACGCGCTGTCCCGGTCTGCTGTGTGCACGCGGAAGGCTTGTATTAAGGCTCTCCGTCCCACCAGGACCGCCATGAGGAGAAGCTGCAGAGATGTTTGACTTTCAACTATGAACCGGGTCACGTGGTGCTGTCACGTGACTTAATGCAGTCCCCCCCCCTTCAGTTAACAGCAGGTGAACAGTATGTACTGCAGACAGCTGAGGCATGCAAAGTGACGACAGAGAGAGAGAGAATAAAGAAATAAATAAAGTAATACATTTATAATTACGGAAGCCTGGCGGACATAAATTCAAATAAAAAACCTTAAAGGTCCAGTTTAAAGAAAAGACAGTAGGTTACATTGGAAAAACGCACAATACAAACCTTATGTGTACAAAAGCACATTAAAAGTTCAGTTTATGTACTATAAGCTATAGGGTGTATATATACTGTATTCTATAAATAATACATTACTATAATAACTACGTAATTTAATCTCTCTTCTTAGAAATGAACTCATCACGAAATAACGTGATAAATAAGTCTTATTCTTTATCAAGGGAAAATGAAGTAGAATAAATGTATTGATGCCTGTCCTCATCCTCCTTTCACATCATTTCTTCATGTTTGTTAAGTGTCTTTGAGAACCTAGAAAAGCGCTACAAATATCTAATTATTATTATTATCATTATTAAAACAGCATCCTCCGCCTGAAAATGCTAACTTCAATCTGCTTCTCCCCTCGTCTCTGGGGAAACAACACTCTTCTAAACACACACTTTGAATGTGTACAATAAATAAAAAAGAAAACACATTCATGATTCAGTGACAAGACGTTTATTGTAAACAAAAACTCACCATTACAATAAGTTGAGAAAAGTGTTCAGATACAGAAACCTGGACGTCAGGCTGCCATCATCATCAGACTCACCGGTGACCAAGCTGTGTCATGACCCCTGACTGTTCTGGGACATTTAATGTTACATTTACAAACGCTGGACCGTTGGAGATATTTCGATGATGAGGACAGACGTTTTTCACAACGTGGCCTGAAAGTTAAAAAAATATCAAACACAAACACACAAAGAAAAAAACAAACAAAAGTGAAGCAACGACTACTCAACCAACAGAGAAGAAGAGCATTTTTTAAGATAAACTTGAACTTCAACCAAAAAATCTGTGACTTGGTGACTTTTTTAATTTAAACTCCAGCAGAGTCGGAGGAATGTGAAGCTCAGTGTTTGTGGAGTCGTCTCAGCTCACCGCTCACAGGAATGCAGAAACAAAGTCTTCAATGTGTACAAAGTACACAGAATGACTGTGGCGATGAAGGAGAGCAGGATTAACACGAGGAACCCGGGCAAGAGAGGGAGAACAGAATGCAGAACTTTACAGGTTTGGGATTTTCTCACAGATTCCTTAAAGTTTCCTAGAGAGAACTTTTTTTTTTTTTTTTACAGGAAAAAGGAAGAAATTACAGGAAGAAATCAGGATTGTCCTCAAAACTCAGGTTCAACTCATGCAAAGTGAATCTGTTTTCCTTTTCATTGCCTAAAGCATTATTCTCTCTAGATGTCTTTGCATGTTTATTTGTCTTTCTGCAAACTCATTACATCATCTCTGAACTTCAAACATCCCATAATGATCTGGTAGAGTGCTTCTTGTTTCCTGTGAACTCAGTGAACTAAGGTAAGTTTTTGAATTTATTTACTGATGAGGATTCTGCAACTTTACAAAGTTTCAATGCAGAGCATGAATCTGAACTTTTGCACAGACAGAAAGCTCATTTTCAACTCTTGTCGAAAGACGATCCATGACTAGAAGTCTTTTGAAATGTACATGTACGGAGGCTATAGCCCTCGTTGTAGTGGCCGTGGGTTCAAATCCAACCTCGCCCCATTGCTGCCTGTCACCCCTCACTCTCTCTCCTCTCAACATTTCCTGCCTCTCTTTAGCTGTCCTCTCTGATAAAGAAAGCAAAAGCTGCTTTTTAGTGACATTAAACTAAATGACTCCTCAGATGTGAAGATTTAGTGAAACATCAAAACACAAACACATTGACAAAGACAAAAAACTTTGCAGAGTATTCAGAGGACATAAAACTTGTACCTGCAGGATGAGACATGCCGGTCTCTAAAATATTAAAATACCACTGAAATACTTTATCTCAACATTTCTTTTTTGGGCTTTTTAACCTTTAATGGATAGTTCAGCTGAAGAGAGACGGGATGTGTTGAGAGGAGAGAGGGGGGGATGACATGCAGCAAAGGGTCAAGGACAGATTCAGACCCACAGCCACTTTGACAAGGACTATAGCCTTCGCTCATGGGCAGCACGACATAAGGCGCTCCCATGTTGTTTCTCTAAAGAGAATCGGGTGCATGAGTGGCCTGTAATTAGTCAAATGAACATCACTTCCACAAACATGGAACGTGCACCATCTATTTCTTTAATTACCCCGACCAAAATAAAAAGTTATCACCAGGAAATGTTCAGAAATAAAAATAACTCTGCTAAAACTTTCCTCTAAAAACGCCTCCACCCACTGTTCTTCTGTCACCACACCGACATAGAACAGATCGACGACACGCACTCTTTGTTGAACTTAAACATGACAGATTTCAGTTTTAAGGCATAAAACGGCCTGACAGCAAAAACCCCCGCTTTAAAAAAATAAATGTTGATATGATGGAGCCAGACTCTGTAAAGCAGTCTGAGTGACAGCTGGTGTAATAATGAAGTTAAAGGTAGAGTCAGTAACGTTTTCCTGAAAGGGAAATTATGATGAGCCCAGGAGGAGGAGGGGCCCAGTTTGAATGTTGTGTTTACAAGCTGCTACTAACTCCACCTTTAAGAGCTTCACACCTCATCCAACACATTAATAATCACTAAGTAATGGATTCTCAAGTAACAAGCAGACATCCTTTATTCAGGCTCCTTCTACAGCGGTGACAAACACACGCTCAACAAGTCAATGTGAGTATTCATATTCATCAATCTGCTGCTTTAGTCTGAAGCAGAAACAGTTTTCAATCAACCAGCTCATTACAGATCCTCCACGTTTGACAGTTTGACCCAAACAGCCAATTAAACCAACATTAACACACATCCTGCACAGATCAGGACGTCTATCCTCCTCTAAAGGACGTCATGCTGCAGGTCAGAGGGGATTTAATAAAGAGGAAGTGTTGTGTTTAAATGACATAAACTTAAACAGTGACTAAGAAACGGCGACGTAGAAGCAAATGGAGTGACTGATAACTGTGA